AGCAGTAGGGTACAGGCCAGAGGTGAGTGGGGTGAGTGAGAGGACCCTCTAGGGACAGAAGGGGGAGCAGAACAGGCAGGTTAAGTGAAATACCCAGCTGAGGGAGCAGCGGGGAGACGGGAAGGGTCTGCTGCGCCCGGGGTCCCTCCCTGGCCGGGATGGAACACGTGGGGAGCCCGGGCCCTAAATCGAAAAGGGTGGGCGTCTTCATAGGAAGGGAGCGAGGCGAGCACGTGTGGAGTGTGCCTCCCCGGGGACCGTGGTTTCAGACTGCGCCCCAGCCGCGGGAGGGGGCACTGTGGTCAGGCTGCCCGCACGGCCCAGGCGGCGGAGGGTGCCTGGGGGCCACCGCACTTGCCCTGCTCCCTGATCGCGCACCTGAAACGCAAGGACGTGACTTTCTGCTTTGCTCGAGACTGGAGCTGGGGCGCAGGCGAGGGGTGTCCCCGGTTCCGCCAGGGCGTGAACTGGATTCCCAGCTCCCTTTAGCCACCCCACAGCTGGCCGTGTGTGGCCCGGTACCGGGGCCCGGGCATAGTGCTGGGCTTGGCGACTGGCACTGCGGCCTGGCAGGACACCCTCGGAGCCAGCCGCGGCCCGCTCTCTGCCTGCCGCCAGCCCCTGGGTCTCGGGCGTCTGGGGCGCAAGGCAGAGGGAGGCTCCGCGGAGGGTCCTGCCGGTGGCCCGTGGGGCAGGGGGAGGGCGCCACAGCCCCGGGAGCGGCAAGGGAGCTGTGCTCAGAAACAGGCACCGGGTGGCCTGCCGAGGCCTGGAGGTGCTCGAAGAGCAGGTGGCTGGCGGCAGCGTGGACAGAGACCTGCCTGTGGGTCACTGCCTCCCCCGAAGGGGCGACCGGGTGAACTCTGCCCCCGCCTGGCCGCTTCTCCTCCTGGACCCAGGAGGCGGCCCTCTGGCCTCTGAAAGTCGGCCCGGGCTCCTGGTGCCCCATCCGGGAAGGCCGCGGGGCGCCAGGCCGGCAAGCAGGCCGGGGCGGGCTCCCGCGGTCAGGCATTCCCTCTCCCCTCGGCCGAGGGCGCTGAGGCCGCGGGTCACCGGGCCCCGCTCAGCGGCGGGCTGTCCCCGGGCCTGTGTCCACCTGGCCCACTGTCCGTACAGGCACCAGCCCGGACACACCGCCGGGCTGCCCAGACCCTGTCCGGACCCACATTCCGCAGAAAGGACAAACTCCGGGCCGCCGGCGGCCGGGCGGGGCCGGGCTCCGCCACACGGGCGGCCGCTCCAGGCCGCGTGGGCGTCAGGGGCACTGCCCGGCCGGCGCGGTGGCCACTGCCCGGTAGCAGGGGCGGGTCGCTGTGTGGTTGCGGGCCTAACGGAACTGGAAGACCCGAGGGGGCGCCCCGACGTGCGCCACGCGGGGCGGGGGTGCCGTTGGGGGAGGGGCCTGGGCCGACGCCCTCCACGCGGTCCCCTCGTGCCTCCGCCCCGCAGAGAGCGGAGAGGACGCGGGAGAGGCGGCGCGGACGTCCCGGGCCGCGGTCTGGGCGGAGGGCGACACGGCGCCCCTCGGCGACCTCTGATTGGTTCCTGACGGCTCGCGCGGAGCCCGCCCAATCACAGCCCGCTTTGCTCGCGGGGGGTGGGGCCAGAGGGCCCGGCCAATGAGAGGCGCCGTTGTTGGCAGCCACGGCGGCGCAGCCCGGGGAGCGAGCGAAGGCCCCGCCGCCAGTGCCGCAGGAGGCGTGAGGTGCGGACGGGC